ATGCAAAAGCACGAAGAGCAGGATCAATGTCATGACCCCATTGCTGAATAGCAGCGTCGTGAATCCAAACGAACCACTGAGCCTGGTCACCAACACGCAGGTCATTCAGCAGGCTCGGACTGGGCTGCGGCAGAAGGGTGCCGAATCTGCGGTACAGATCAAAGAGAAGAGCCCACCCACAGAGATGTTGCGGCGGTGTGACACAGACAAAGGTGACATGAATTGCACACTCAGCACGCAAGAGAGCAAAGGAAGCATCGGCGGCAAGATGCCCCGAGTGTTGCCTAAGAGCACGAGGTCCCCGAACGACCACATGATAATCCCAACTCTCCCGGTGAAATTCACAAAGAACCCAATGCTGCTCCCAGAGGATAGGAACAATGATGCGCTCATAAGAAGCGGTGCTGCAAGAGAAGCCATTGATGAAACTGATTTGCCGAGTAGTCTGATCCCATCGAGCTGGGGCAGCAAAAAGGGTGTTGGGGATCAACAATCGCAGGAGCTCACAGTGATAATCGAGGGAGTCAGAAAAGAGCCATCCAGGATTGCTCGTGCAGGCTTGCAGTCGCTGGAGAATCACATGCTCCAACTCGGTTTGAGTGGCAGCTTCAGCAGGTGGCAAACGAACGCTCAAGGGAGGACCAGGCAGAACTGATGGGGTGGCACCAGTGTCGGGATTCCCACGAGGGAAAATGGGATCAAGCGGAAGATCTGTGACAGGATCATTGTCACGCCCTTTGAGTGCAAGTTGACAGAAGAAGTCCAAGCGCATTTGGAAGGCAAATCCACGAAGAACAGGATCAGCTCTGGCTAAAGTCCACTGGTGTTGGGAAGCAATGAGCATGTCGTTGATGAGGCGATGCTCTTCCGTTGTGAGGATGTTCCAAAAGTAGCTGGCATCGGGCAAATGATCAAGGACTCCAGCCTGCGTGAACAGCTGGAAAATGATCGTCCAGCCGCACATGTGCTCAGGGGGTCGAATGAAGTCGAAGTCCAGAATAGCACGATGTGGTGCTAGATCGATGAGACGGCAAGTGATGAAGGCGGCTCGCTGAGCAAGTTGCTGTGGCAACCCTCTGATGGAGATTTTGGTACCTCTCGGCTCACGAACAACCTCAACAAGGGCCCAGTGTGAAGCGACTTGGAGCATGAGACAAGTCCGACCCTGCGGGGCAAAGGATGTCTCTTCATAGGTTCCCTCATCAAACTCGTTGATTGCAGTGTTCCATTGTTGGAACCCAAAGGCTTGCAAAAACTCCGGTGCCAGAATCTGCAAAATGCGTAAAGCATTGTGAAGCTCATCAGACGCCGCCCAGCCATGGGTGGCAACAGAGAAGGCAACACGCTGCGGAAACGAAGCACCTGCCGGAAGAAAAGCAGCCGGTTGATCCAGATGATGGCCTGCAGCAACAACAGGTCGGGTGTCAAGCTTCTCAATGACAAAGATGTCGCCAGTATAACAGAGCATGGAAGTCGTCGCAACACGAAAGTTGTGAGTGACAATGCGATGCCTGCCATGGGCGGTAATGACAATTGTGTTGGCGTCAATGCATTTTGGGATGGCCTTCAAAAAGACACATGTCGTAGGTGCGATTTCGACAAAGACAACGAAGGCATCATGCTGGTGGTCAACAGGACGGACAATCACAAGTGGACCATCGGCAATTTTCTTGACTCTACCGGGAGCAAGGAAGACATGGAACTTCCCAGGGAAAAGGACATCGATTTGGCTCTGAGCACATCCAAGGGGGTCTGTTTTGTCAAGCTCAATGGCAAACAACACAGGTGGTGCTTCCCACGCTAAGGCCGCAACACACTTGGATGCTCCACCATCTTTAAGGACCTTGAAGAGATGCTCGACAAAGGCCAAGGCCTCATGGAAGGACAAATGTCTGCGAAGGTCATCGAAAGACCATGGAGTGCACTCAATCACTTTGGGCTCTTCATCTTCATGCGCAGAAAACGGCACAGTCGGTGGCAGTTCATCAGGTGGAGGACATGTCTCGGCAAACAAGGGCCCACCCTTTGCAAACGAAGCGAAGCAAATGTCCTTCCAGAAACATTGGAAGAGATCGAATTCTTGGAAAGCTGTTTCAACCCTGTGAAGGACCGCATCCCTGTTCGCCGGCGCTCGAAACTGGAAAGGGCTTGGATCGCACTCGTCAAGGACAAGGATCTGCTGAAGAGCGGCGAGCAGTGTGGCATCGGCAGCTACACTAGTGTCTCTAGATATTGCACTCTCAGACAAGGTGGTGCGCACAGACAGATAACGAATGTCCGGATTGGGCAACACAAGAAACCGAAAGTTGAGCTGGCGAAAGAAGGCATCGGCTTTTTGCACTGTGAGCCACTGCTCAGATCGGTGTACAAATGCATTTTCCGCAGTCAAACGATCATGCCAACACTCTTGGACCAAGGCAAGGATGGAGACCGGAGCATTGGACAATGAGACAAGACCAATCGCAAGTGCAAGTAAGGCGTGTGGCTGTGCGATGGCATTGCCGAGGACATGAAAGGCCTGGTGCACATCACATGGCAGAACGACTTTGCCAGTTGAGCCGAACAAGGAAACGAACGACAAAGGACTAAGGAAGGCAAAATCATCACCACACTGGACGAGGGAAGCGAAAATGCCTTTATCCGAAAGATGTGCAGCCTCAATCTCATGTTGCTTCGAATACGAGCAGCAAAGGGTCGGTAAAGCTTCATTAGCTGGAGGAACACGCTTAAGAAGGACTTCCAGACCCGTGCCCTCAGTCAACCTAACACGCTTTGCAGGCGGAAGGAACTGCGGATTTGCATAGCACTCACGGGCCTCAGGTTTCAACACCAACTGCTGTTTGAGGTCCTCAGGTAACCAAAAGCAATTCAGGGGTGAATGCCATGGCGAAAGAGGTGGTGCTCTGGGGATGACAGTGGTGTCGAAGGCTTGGCACGGCACATCCGCTCTCTTCCAAATGGCCAGCCATCGGGTGCGAGAGTTGTGGGTCAACTGATGAAGCGGCACAACTTGCTGCCACACCAGGGCATAGCCCAGAATCTTGAGAGCGGCTTGCAACAGCTTAAAATGAGCATGCGCGATGATTTCATCCGCACACTCAAGGAAAAGGAGCAGCGGTTGCTGCAACTCCACTAGCTGTACAGCTTCAAAGGCTGCAAACCCTGAGGTGCAATCTAAACCTTGCAACTTGCCGCCACGGGACCAGCTGATGCATGGTGGCGATGCGGTGATCACTGAGTTCGTAGGCCACAAGCACCGCAGCAGAGTCGAAGGGTCATCTACAGCGGAACAAACGCCAATGATCTCTGATGGATCCCATTTTGCCAGAGCTTCGGTCTTGCCACAATAATAGTTCTGGTTGTGTTGCTGAGACCAGACATCCAGCACCATTGAGTCCGCGTCTAGGAAGGTTTGGGAGCCCACTGCAATCTGAGTACCATTCCATCGCTCTGGACCATCCACAGTACGAGCCTGAAAAGAGGTGGAGGAGGTTGTACGGCAGCTGTGCCTCAAACTTTGATCGATGCAGCACAAGGACATCCTTGGAGAAGGTCATCACCGAAGGATCCCCGGCACTAGTACTCGAGCCATACAGGAGAATATCACCACCAATGTTCAGCTTAATAGCACGGTTGCGTAGGTCCGGAATGACAACCTGCAGCGAGTTGCACTCTTGAGGAATGAATCCTTGCCAGGGTTCAAAACACATGGGCCTGATCTTGACTGTCTCATTGAGCACTTCTTCGACCATCCCGACAAGGATCACCGCACTCCCACGGCAGACCGTGGTGTTGCGACTCCGGTGATCCTGCCAGAACTCACGAAACGTGAGAAGGCGCCGTCCAGACAACGAACCCTCAATCAAATGAGCAACTTCAGTCCAGGAAGACATGGCGCGGGTCGAGAGGGACACGTAGCGAGCACAAACAAAAGCCGGTCAGCCAAGGGCTTTTGTGGACGACCAACGCCGAAGGGGAATTCGGTCGCAGGTCCGCGGGGACCGGGCGCTCCCAAAGCTGAATGGGCTTGACCCGAGACAGCTACCAGTAAAACCTTTTCATTATGAGAGATATGTTTGATCAGATCAAAATAATTAATCAAGATTCTACACTTCTAGGAACTACTTGGGAAACTCATGGACACTCCATCAATCCAGGTCATCTTGGTCACCCAAGCTTCCCTTTTGTAGAATCAGTATGAATACCCGACGTCCGACCCGATGCCCACACCTCCTTCCCTCCGTCATCAGGATCAAACTCCCCAAACCCGGACCGCCGACGACTCCCAAAGCGTTTCTTCAAATAGTTTGCAGAGCAAAGTAGGCAACCATGAAGCCGGACAAATACTAGTAGCTTCTGGCTACTAGTAGTAGTGGCCTCCAACCTAATAGCCATGGCCTCCACCTAGTAGCTTCTAGCTACTACTAGTAATGATCTCCAACCTAATAGCCATGGCGTCCACCTAGTAGCTCCTAGCTACTACTAGTAATGATCTCCAACCTAATAGCCATGGCCTCCA